TTCCAGCTGTTCTTTTTGATATTTCAAAACAGAGATGTCGTGCTCGTAACCTTGTATTTCCGACTCGAATTTCAACCTCTGTTGTTGAAGTATTCTGCGAAATTCCACCTCGAATTTACGTCTGATGTCTTCCTTTTCTTTAATAAAGCCCTTTTCCTTGTTCGACTTTTCTCTTCTAAAAATGTTCATTAAATCGTTCTTTTGCTGTTTGAACCTCTGTTCCATGTCAACGATTTCCAACGCAAACTGGTGCTCAACTAGCTTGTACTTATTGGCGTAGTGAGAATGCATTTTGGTCTTCCCTTGTTTGAACGATTCTTTCAACAGCTCCTCTTTATCCAGGCTCATTTCGGCATCTGATATACTTTTAAAGGGCATATCAACCTCCGGTAGCTCGTGATTATAGAGGGTCTCGAGATACGCGTTCTCCTCGAAGTAAACATTCTCCAGATCGCCCACGCCCTGCGACAATGTCCGCCTCAGCTCATTTTATACTTCCTCGATTCCCTCAAGCTCTTTGCGAATCTTCGCTTCCATTTCAGCCTTTTCGGCTTTAAATCCTTCCTCTTTCTCTGTTTTTCACGATCCAATGATTTTATCAATGCAGATTTCTCGTCTTCGAAAGACAGCTTCCAAACATGTCTCGATTCCTGAAATTCCAAGCGGATGTTGTCTTTCTCTTTTAAGAAATTCTGTCTCATTTCTTCTTTTTCGCATTCAAAGGCTTTTGTCATGTTTTCCTTTTCCACTTCAAAAGCTAAACATGTGGTGTTTTTGGCCAGCGGCCAATACACTTTGAGCATGCGCACTTATGCGCCATTCCGGAACGTAGTCCGTTCGAATCAAAGACATGACAGTGGCGACGAGGTAAAATTCAAGAAATTATGACCACTATTGTGAAGACAGAGAGTTTTGATGACACAAAAGAGAACTGGGAAAACTATGTGGAACGAGTAGAACAGTTTTTCTTGGCGAACGACATCGAGGATGACCATAAAGTGCCAACTTTGTTGAGCTTGATCGGCGGGAAAACCTACGCTCTGCTGAGGGATCTTCTTGCACCGGAGAAGCCAGCTACAAAGTCCTTTCAACAGATAGTTACCACTCTCCAGGAGCATTTGAGCCCAAAGCCCTTGGAAATTGCGGAAAGATTTCGTTTCTACAAGAGAAACCAACATGAAGGAGAAAGCATTTTGTCTTACGTGGCCGAGCTAAGGAAGCTTGCGACACACTGCAATTTTGGCGGGAATCTGAACGAAGCGCTACGAGATAGACTGGTCTGTGGACTTCGAAATATGCAGATCCAAAAGAGATTACTGTCAGAAGCCAAACTGAAGTATTCCAAAGCTGTGGAGATTGCTGTAGCAATGGAAACTGCCATCCGCGATGCTTCAGAATTACAAAGTGAGCTATAAATATCAAGTGTAACGGTTTTGTTGGTGTCAGCAGCAAAAAGCGCTATTGTAAGACTGGAGGACACTGAGTGCAGAGGACGAGAATAAACTGCGTCAGGATTAGCTCAGTCGGTAGAAAAAAGTTTGACAGCAGAGCGAGAGGCCGTTTGGGTTCGATTCCTGGGGCCGGACCAATACCAAGGGTCTTTAAAAAGGTCATGCCTTTGTCCTAGCTGCAAACGGCTAGACCTTCGCTTGCCCTCGGATGAACTCGTATAAAATGCAGTCCCGTTTCCAGTGAGTAAGAGACGCATAGTGTCCCCTACCAAGTATACTTTCGTGCTAAATACATTGACACTGAAATAAAGTGACTTTATTTTTTTTTAATTCACCCCTGTCAGTCATTATGTTCTCTGGACATCATCTTGCTTTCACCTAATCTGGATATAAATCGAGAGTAACCAATTTTGTCAGTTTCTTTATATTTGATTTCATTAAAAGCTGTAACGTAAATTAAATTGGGTATCAGTCCTTTCTGAGTAATACATCCAGAATCGCATATCAAACAAGCTTTTAGATCCCCACGAAATGACTCATCTCCCCCTGTCAAAAGTCAAATGAGAGGTCCCATTGGCGGTAGGACACGCAATAGCTTCCGGGTTATCCATCCGTCCTTTTTTCCTTTTTTTTCTCGACGGAGAAAGCTCACATGCCATGCACAGGCGAGAAAATCCCCGTGTATTTAAGACCCTTTACCCTTTACCCTCGCCTCAGCAGTAAAGAGTCTTTGATACGCGGAGATTTTTCCCGTTCATTCACCCGACGGCTATGCCATGCTGATTAGCCCCAATAAGTCCAATAAGGGCGAAAACAGCTGTCCATGGCAGCCACTGCCCGGGTAATATGGCTGCGCGCATGCGTGAGTTACTGGTTAGGCCGTGGGTTGGTGTATGTGTGCCCTTTGCTTTAAGTTTGTCTTACAAAAGATAATGAAAAAGTAAAGTTTACATGAAGCATTACCCAAACGTTATTTTAAGGAATATCATAGTATTTTCCGCAATGGTCTAGTCCAAGCGTGCCTATCGCCCCACTTCACCTCACTCCCCAAACCAGCAGATTCAATTCATGCTTACAAAAACTCCAATGTGAACTTAATTTGCATTGCAGATATAACATTCTTTAGCTCAGTGGAGATTTGGAGATTGTTTTTGTTTGATTCACCATTCTCACATGGGCCATATGCACCTACCATCTTGTTTAGCTCCCCTCCCAGCGAGAAGCTCGTTTTACTTAAATTATGCGACTATTTGGGAAAGACCGAGTATATTAGTCGAGCGAGTAGAAATCGACGGAGGCATGTTTACCGTATCAACTGCTATTTGTTTTGAGGAACTTGAGAAGTTAACCTGTTCAGTTTTCCCGGCACTTCATCATCTTTCTGTAAAGATTAATCGGAATAAATATATAGAACTTGTGCTGAGCGCCGAACCATTAGAGTCCATTTGATCGGTGCTTGCTGTTCTTCCAAGGCGAAACTGATCTAGTAGCCATTCAAGCCGGAGTTTATCCCCACTCAGCTTTCTCTCGTATTGCTCTTTCAAAACCCTCTTAAGGTCCTTCTTCTCGTTTTTAAACCTGTTCTCAATTTCAAGCTTCTCGTGGTCGAATTTTAATTTCAATTTTCGCATTTCTAAGGAAAAGCACTTTTCCAGCTGTTCTTTTTGATATTTCAAAACAGAGATGTCGTGCTCGTAACCTTGTATTTCCGACTCGAATTTCAACCTCTGTTGTTGAAGTATTCTGCGAAATTCCACCTCGAATTTACGTCTGATGTCTTCCTTTTCTTTAATAAAGCCCTTTTCCTTGTTCGACTTTTCTCTTCTAAAAATGTTCATTAAATCGTTCTTTTGCTGTTTGAACCTCTGTTCCATGTCAACGATTTCCAACGCAAACTGGTGCTCAACTAGCTTGTACTTATTGGCGTAGTGAGAATGCATTTTGGTCTTCCCTTGTTTGAACGATTCTTTCAACAGCTCCTCTTTATCCAGGCTCATTTCGGCATCTGATATACTTTTAAAGGGCATATCAACCTCCGGTAGCTCGTGATTATAGAGGGTCTCGAGATACGCGTTCTCCTCGAAGTAAACATTCTCCAGATCGCCCACGCCCTGCGACAATGTCCGCCTCAGCTCATTTTATACTTCCTCGATTCCCTCAAGCTCTTTGCGAATCTTCGCTTCCATTTCAGCCTTTTCGGCTTTAAATCCTTCCTCTTTCTCTGTTTTTCACGATCCAATGATTTTATCAATGCAGATTTCTCGTCTTCGAAAGACAGCTTCCAAACATGTCTCGATTCCTGAAATTCCAAGCGGATGTTGTCTTTCTCTTTTAAGAAATTCTGTCTCATTTCTTCTTTTTCGCATTCAAAGGCTTTTGTCATGTTTTCCTTTTCCACTTCAAAAGCTAAACATGTGGTGTTTTTGGCCAGCGGCCAATACACTTTGAGCATGCGCACTTATGCGCCATTCCGGAACGTAGTCCGTTCGAATCAAAGACATGACAGTGGCGACGAGGTAAAATTCAAGAAATTATGACCACTATTGTGAAGACAGAGAGTTTTGATGACACAAAAGAGAACTGGGAAAACTATGTGGAACGAGTAGAACAGTTTTTCTTGGCGAACGACATCGAGGATGACCATAAAGTGCCAACTTTGTTGAGCTTGATCGGCGGGAAAACCTACGCTCTGCTGAGGGATCTTCTTGCACCGGAGAAGCCAGCTACAAAGTCCTTTCAACAGATAGTTACCACTCTCCAGGAGCATTTGAGCCCAAAGCCCTTGGAAATTGCGGAAAGATTTCGTTTCTACAAGAGAAACCAACATGAAGGAGAAAGCATTTTGTCTTACGTGGCCGAGCTAAGGAAGCTTGCGACACACTGCAATTTTGGCGGGAATCTGAACGAAGCGCTACGAGATAGACTGGTCTGTGGACTTCGAAATATGCAGATCCAAAAGAGATTACTGTCAGAAGCCAAACTGAAGTATTCCAAAGCTGTGGAGATTGCTGTAGCAATGGAAACTGCCATCCGCGATGCTTCAGAATTACAAAGTGAGCTCAACCCCAACCCATTCCCTCACGTTGACAAGTTGACTGAACACAACAAACCAACATAAGCGAAAGCGGCGACCACCCCCCATTGGTACGGCTGTGGTGGGAACACACATATGACAAACAATTGTTTTTACAAGGACCAGATCTGCCACCACTGTGGAAAACAGGGCCACATCCAGCGAGTTTGTCGTTCCAAACAGCAAGGCAGGCCTAAGCAAGCAATCAAAACCCCAGAGGTACATGCTGTTGAAGTTGATGTTGATGTTGATGCATATGAAGACATATTAGCCACCTTCGAGGTACACAATGTGAGGAAACAGAGCAATGGTATTATCTGGATTGATTTGGATGTTGATGGTAAACCCCTTAAGATGGAACTGGACACAGGTTCGGCTGTGTCTATCATCTCGTTTGACCTCTACCAGCAGAAATTTAACAGGCTTCCCTTGCACAAAACTGGACTGTCCTTGAAAACCTACACCGGGGAAAACATTATGCCAGTAGGAGTGCCCAGAGTACCCGTGGATTACCAAAACCAAAGAGTGGTGCTGGACCTGTAAGTCGTCAAGAATAAGGGTCCTGTTATAATGGGAAGAGATTGGCTACGTACCATACGCCTTGACTGGTGTTCTATGAAGTCGCTGCAGGCTTCACTAGCTACCTCAAGTCCTAAAGAGCGTTTGGACGTTATGCTAGACAAGTACTCTGATGTTTTTGAAAATAAACTGGGCACCTTAACATCAGCCTAAGCGAAGTTAACTCTTAAAGACGACAGCCAAGCACGCTTTCTCAAGGCCAGACCGATGCCGTATGCATTAAAGCCGAAGGTGGAGGAGGAACTGCGGCGACTCCAGAATGAAGGTATTCTCACTAAAGTGGAGTGGAGTGAATGGGCCACACCGATTGTGCCTGTCCCCAAGAAAGATGTTTCCGTCAGACTTTGTGGTGATTACAAGATTACAGTGAATCCAGAACTACAAGCAGAGCAGTACCCTCTTCTTCGCATTGAAAACATCTTTGCAAACCTTGCTGGTGGGCAGAAATTCTCAAAGACTGACCTCCGCCTAGCATATCACCAAATAGAGATGGAAGAAGATTCAAAGAAATACCTCACAATCAACACCCATATGGGACTGTTCCAGTACAACCGACAAGTGTTTGGTATCACCTCTGCACCTGCTATCCGGCAGGGCACCATTGATCAAGTGTTAGAAGGGACGTCTGGAACAAGCTGTATCCTTGATGGTATGATCATCACTGGAAAGAATGATGATGAACACCTTGCCAACCCAGAAGAAGTTTTACGTCGCTTACAGGCTCATGGTTTAAGAGCAAACAAAACAAAGTACAAGTTTTTCAAAGAGAAGATAACCTTCTGTGGACATGATATTGACAGTCATGGTCTCCACAAGTCACCAGAGAAAGTGGACCCTGTCTTGAGTCAAGTCCATGAGATGGTGACTAAAGGATAGCTAAGCAGCCATGTTCCTGTACTGGACCCCTTCTACGCTCGCAGGGATGACATAACAGTACAATCAGGCTGTTTGATGTGGGGAATCAGAGTCATAGTACCTCCAAAACTTCGTCCACAAGTGCTTGCAGAACTCCATCAAGGACATCTCGGAGTGGTGAAGGTGAAGGGCCTAGCAAAAAGCTACATCTGGTGGCCAGGGATCGACAAGGAAATTGAGGAAACCGCGAAGACTTGCTCGGGTTGCCAGCTAATGCAGGCTGAACCTAGTACCGCACCTGTACATCCATGGGAGTGGCCATCGTCACCCTGGCAGCGAATCCATATTGATTTTGCCGGACCTTTCCTCGGCTGCATGTTTTTAATTGTCGTGGATGCCCATTCTAGATGGTTGGAAATAGAGAAAATGGACACCACGACCTCAACCAAAACCATCG